TGCAAGTACTCAAGATGTTCTTGACTTGATGAGAACCGGTCAAAAGAATCGTGCTGTAGGTGCTACGGCTTTAAACGAGCGAAGTAGCCGTTCTCACAGTATTTTGACTATTCATGTGTACGGGAAAGAGTTGGTTTCTGGATCTGTTCTCAAAGGTTGCTTGCATTTGGTGGATTTGGCTGGTAGCGAGCGAGTGGATAAATCCGAGGCCGTAGGTGACAGATTGAAGGAAGCTCAACACATCAATAAATCACTCTCGGCTCTAGGAGATGTCATTTCAGCACTTGCACAAAAGAGTGCACATATTCCTTACAGAAACAGCAAGCTTACTCAAGTATTACAAGATTCTTTAGGTATATACATACACACACATAAGTACATATGCCTGTTTCCAATCATTTGTGATATATTCAGACCTTTTTGTTCGAACTTTATCTTGTTTATTTGTTCATATCTTATTTTATTTTATGTGATAGGTGGTCAAGCTAAAACATTAATGTTTGTACATATAAGTCCTGAGGTCAATTCATTTGGAGAGACGGTAAGCACACTGAAATTTGCTGAGAGGGTTGCTTCCATAGAACTCGGGGCAGCTCGATCCAACAAGGAAACCGGTGAAATACGAGAGCTTAAAGAAGAGGTGGGTTATTAATGCTTTTAACTCCAATTATTACAAATTTTTATACGAATTTTTCTTCTACCTTGTTCAATCATTTGACAAAAAACATATTTTAGATATCAAATCTTAAACTAGCATTGGAAAAGAAGGAAGCGGAAGTAGAACAACTGAATGGTGGAAATGCTCGAAGCATGACTGAAACTCAACGAGGAAGAGCGGTTTCACCTTTCCAAATTCCGAGACAAGGAATGTCTACCAGCATGAAGCCTGAATTATCTCAGAGACCTACTGATTATAATAGAGTATCTGAGGTAATTGAAAACATATTGGACAATGAAAGTTTGACAGGATTTTTCCAAAGATTGAATGTTTTACATCTATTTTATGGCTATATTGGATTTTCAGGCTAGAAGCTGTCCTTCAGGTAAGCAAAGGAGGTCAAGATTTCCGTCCGCATTCACAGGCAAGGAGGCATTTCCAAAGATGCATAGTCTAGCCGAAGAGAGATCAGTGAGTGCGGTAAAGGCAAGGTCACCGTCTCCTCCTGTCCGAAGGTCCTTATCCACTGATAGAGGAACCTTAATTAGAAGCAGGATCAAGGCTGAAACAGTTGAAAATCCGCCAGTAACATCGAAAGTACCATTTCTGGCTAGAGTACCGATTAACAAATCTGTTGCCACAACAGCTGCGTTCCCCTCAACAGGTAGCAACACCTCCAGGGTTCATACAAGATCCCAAGAGACTTCCAAACAAGATAACATCTCATATTCGTTAAACAATCTCCATAAACATAACACCAAGAAAGTTCACTCGGAACATGAAGATGAGCAGTTTAGGCAAGCCCTTAATGTTAGGCAGGGCGGAATTAGGAAAAGCAAGGTTGAGAGCAAGGCTAAAACAAAGCACCAACAGCCTGCAAGACTTCAGAAAACTGATGCCACAATCACACTGCTTTCTGAAATGGATGCCACTGAGAAAATAGAGGAGCCTCGGAAAAGTGACTTCTCCGAGCCAGAAAATGAGCACTCACTTGTTGGCTCTGCTGTACAGGCCACATTGAAGACGAGGAGGCTTCGGCAGAAGTTCACTGGGAATTCACAGAATCTCGAACCGAGGTATACTTCAATGCTTCCATTTACAAAGGGTATACCATTAGCATATAAGATTTATCAGAATGTTTAGTTCTAATGCATATTGCATTACCATGTACAGGGGGTTAATGCAAGCAGTCGAACCCTTGCTGGGAGAGAAAAATGACCGACCTCCGAACGGTGTGAGCTGCCAAGCAAAGGAGGCAAGTAAAACTTCAATGCCCGAATTTCGACGGAGCCGATCATCACCTCGTGGGAAATTTTTGGTTTTGCCTTGAGGATTCTACAGCATATAGGTATATGGTGAAAGTTTTGTACAGGGAGTATTGAGGTTGGTGTTCCGGGTTGCATTTTGAAAGGATATTGCTGTGATCAAGATATGTCATTGGAGCTGACTATATGTATACATAAAAACTTATCATCTATCTATATATAAATATATATGATTTGATCATCTCTTTTTCCATCCATGGCAATCTTGCATTAGAGAATGTCTATATTTTGTAGAACAATAGTCGGAAAAATCGAAAGCAACAAACGGAAGAAGGTAAAGTACTATCTTTCATCCATTTTTTTGCAGGCAATCTTGAACACTTCTGTTTTTAAGTATTACCAAATTTAGATTTCCATTTGAATGGCTTCTTAAAAAAAGCCAGTCAATGGTCTATAAATAGTAATAGTAGAGAAAAACCACAAAATTTCTGTTTAAGATTGATAAACATTGACAACCTCATCTTAGATGTAAATTTATCAAAGTTTTACTTCCATTGCTACTAAATTCGAAATCATTATCATGGAGCCATTTCTTGAACATTTCTTGAACTCATATATCGGCGATTGTTCATCCCATTAATACATATGAGTTCCACTATATGCAAAATCATTATCATCCTTGAGTTGCAACATTTGGGGCTAAAAATCTCCACCACTTCATGAAGAAAAGAAGGTAGATTCGGATGACGCCGGCAGACTAGGTTTGATTGGAGTATTGGAATCGACATACGGATTTCGGTAACAGCTTGAAATACCAAATAACCTAGCATCTCCGGAATCACATCATGTCGAGGAACTTAACGGAGTTAAATAATCTCGAGGGAGGTGCTTTACCTAGCATTCCAAGGCCACCGTTTTCAACGGAGAAGCAGAAGGAGAATCAGCCAACAACGGATAATACTGCACAATGTTCGGTCACCATAATCTACGGTGCCGACATTGCGAACTTGTACTGCAAAGTAATGGCCACATGGTGCAAAACCCCTACCAGCCATTCCTTTACTATCAGTGTAGAGAACCCTCATGATGATCAAAATCATAGTACCATCAAGATCGATTTAAGTGGATGGCAATTTTGGGGAAGAAAAGGTCTGAAAAACATGGAAGTAGATGGCAAAAGGGTAGACATTTACTGGGATCTCCGACAGGCTAAGTTCGACGATAGCCCCGAGCCCTCCTCAGACTATTATGTGGCAATGGTATCTGGTGAAAAAGTGGCATTAGTTTTAGGAGATATGAAGATAGATGCTTTCACAAGAACCAGGAAAAAACCTTCCTCGGTAGAACCTACCTTGATGTGCAAGAAAGAGCATGTCTGTGGGAAAAAACTCTTTTGTTCCAAGGCCAAACTAGGCGCGGAGAAACGAGAACACGACATTATAATCGAGAACTGTCTATCCGGTCCCGACGATCCTGAAATGTGGGTTACCATAGACGGTACCGCCATGATCCGGGTTATGAACCTTCATTGGAGGTTCAGAGGAAATGAAATAGTCACAGTGAACAAAACACCAGTACAAGTTTTCTGGGATGTGCATGATTGGTTATATAATGATAGTCCCGGTTCAAGCCATGGATTGTTTATTTTCACACCAGCCGGACCGGGTTTTTCAGGTTCCGATGCTAAAAGTTCCGTCACCAATGATAACTACGGCGGTGATTGCAACATAAATGATCATAAATTTTGCTATGTTCTATATGCTTGGATAACCGATTAGGGATGAACTGAAATTGTACTCGTTTTGTTGATGCGGATAGTCTTCCAACTATAGACTGTTGCTTTGTTGAGTCCCTCAATTATAAAAAGTTACAAAATGATCACACAACTATTCATTATGTTCCAAACTCGTCTTTTTCCGTTAAAAAATTTACGATTGTCTAAGTTGGACGTTAACTTGATGACTAAGATGTTATAGTCGTTTGAGATTCTAGGACCAGATTCTATCATATCACCGTCAACAAGTTAATGTTCAACTCAGAATACCATAATTTTTTTAACAAAAAAGGACGAGTTTGAAATATAATGAATAGTCTAGTGTTAATTTTGTAATTTTTTATAGTCTAGGGACTTAATAAAATAATATCTTATAATCAGGGGACTATTTGTGTACTTTACCATTTAATTTTTTAATTATAGTTTAAAAAATATTAATGATAAATTTATTACTATAATTTAATTTAAAAAAATTAAATAATTTTAGATTAGATTTGTAAAGTTTAGTGTATTTTTCGATGCAACAAATATCAAATTTATATTTGTAGACTAAAAATGAGTGAATTAGAAATTTTAGAGTCGAACGATTGTCGATAATTGTGGCCAATGGTGAGTAATGCTGATGGTCAGCGATAACCGATGACGGAAAACTTTAATTAAATTCATAGGTATATTTTATCTGAAATTTAAAGATAAAATTAATATTAAATCTAAATATTAAGAGTCAAATCAAAATTTAACCCGTTTTACTAACGTATTACGTTATACATCGGCAATGTAGTGACCAAAACATTACTATTTTAAGATTTGTGTGAAAATATGAATAAAAATGAAACAAAAGTAACCATTTTGTAGTTTACCCAAAATAAAAGGGAGTCTAAATTACCATGACGGTACCTTGTCGTTCAGTCACAAACTCAAGCTTATTTTTTGGGTAAACTAAAAATTAGTATCTAAACTATCAATTTTAGTACCTAAACTTTTATTATTTTCAAAATCATACTTAATGTTTTGTTTTTATTTCATTTTAGTATCTTGTTATTAAAAACTTAATGCATTTAGTGCCTAAAATATCAGTTTTGGTCTGTTTTAGTTCTAAACTTTCAATTTTTTGAAAACTTAACGTTCAATTTTGAACGAGATACTAAAATGAAACAAAAACTAAACTTTAGGTATAGTTTTAGAAAAATTGAAAAGTTGAGTACTGAACCATATCAAAACTGATAGTTTAAGTACCAAGCACATAATTTACCCTATTTTTTTCTAGACAAACAAATTTAAGCTTTGGGATTTTATCAGAACGCTAAAGCTCTGAACTTGAAATTGAGATTATGAAAATGTCGAGTTTTGCGTGTAATCTGAACTCCAAAATCTCTGCAGCCCTTCAGTTTCGTGCTTCCTCAATTCCCTGGTAAGCTCTTCCACTCCAAAATTTGGGTTTTTCTTTTCCCATTCTCTGTTAGTTTCCCAGGAAAATGGAAGTTAATTGCGTGATTCATATTTTAAAAAGCAATAAAATGGCCTTGAGATTTTTGGGTTATTGAAAGCTATGATTTTATGCTATTTTTTCTAAAGCTTTGATTTCTCAGGGTGAATGGAAACAGGGCAATATTATGTTTGAAGGAGAGGGAATATAGTTCATCAGTTCCAGTAAGGTATATTCCTAAGAAACCTTTGGAAACTGAAGAGCCCGAAGCTTCTTCACATTCAAAGGGTTTGAGAAAGAATGAATCTCGTAAATACCCTGCTTCGAATGCATTTGGAAGAAAGTTTACAAATAATAGAAGCAGTGTTGTTGATAAAAAGTCGCAAACACGAAACGGAATGGTCAAGAAAAATGTATTATATGATGATGTTAAACAAGGTATGCTGCAGTTTCACATATTGTAGCACGTAATGATTGTGGATTGCTATTGGAATTGATGGTTTGTGGGACTGTGTATGCGAGCGTCGACAGAATTGTTGGTCTGAAACTCACATTATGGGTGTGTTTTAGTCTGGTAATGTAGTTTACAAGTGTGTGAAATTGATGGTTTACTAGACTCGTGCATGTGAACATCGATAAAATTGTCGGCTTTGACGTCACAGCATTGTGGATGTAATGGCTCTGTTGGATCATGTTTATGTCCATTTATAGAAGCTTACAACTATTAGATGGAAACACTTTCATGTTAGTCTTCCTAGTATTTCCAGATATGTGCAGAACTATGATATATCATGGTTTAAACCATTTATCACACTCACTGATTTGGAAAAGTTAAACTTCTTTAATTTGTAGGCCATGAAATAATGGAGAATCCCGTAGATATGGTTGAGGAGATGCCTCAAGGACAGGGTAATAGTGGAAAGAATTCATTACAAGTTTGCAAGGGAATCTTAGATGCCGAGAAGTCAGCAATTGAATTACTTGCGGCAAGGTAAACATACTGCTATCCCTAGCTCTGTATTTGTTTCTTATTTCTTGGAAATGAAATGCACGTATTATTTCATTATGTAGCTTTTTTGTTTCACTAGTTCTTCGCTGAATGCAATCCTCATTTTCTGCAGAGCATATACAGCAGTTGAACTGAGAAAGAAACTGCTTGTGAAGAGATTCCCTCCGGAGATTGTCGAGACAGTGATTAGGGATTTCCACAATAGGTGTGCAACTATTTTTAGGGAACCATACTTGACTCCAAACGAAAAATTGATTTTGCAATTATAGCCTATTCAGTTATTTTAGCTTTTGCTACATTATTTTGCAATTCAATTTTCTTGTGTTAAACAACTGTTTGACTTCTTTGTTCTATTGTAGAGGATTTATCAATGATAGCTTGTATGCGGAAGCATTTTCTCGATCTAGATGGTCTTCATCAACCTGGGGACCAAGGAGAATCAAGCAAGTAAGCATTATTTTTCTCAAAATTAAAATCGTTTTGTCAAAGTTCAAAGGCATGTATCTTAAAGTCATTCCATCTTGATAAATGGTGGAGCTTTGTTTTCTCGGTAGTAGTGAATTTCCTTGAAGTGGTTAAGAAGTTCAAAGTTATTATGAGATCCTTTTTATCAAATTAAAAAGAGAGCAATTAGTATCTGAATATGTAAATAAATAAAATTCCAGTGGAGAAAGATGGCTACTGTTGGATTTACGCTTGGCATAGGAGTGTTAAATTTAGTCGTGTCTGTTTGTTAATAATATTTAGCCTGTGGCTTCTATTTTTAATTTAATAGAGAAAACAAACGGAAAGGCGAAGGAAAAGAAGTAGCATGATTTGTTGATTTCTAGTCTTTGCTGTTTTCAAGCAAAAGTTTTTAACTCTTGGGTTATGGGATGTTGTGTATCAGGCATTGTTCAAGAAGGGAATAAGTGAAGCTGATGCAGAAACCGCATTAAAACTCGTATTTGAGGGTCAGATTGATGACTCTAATGATGATCAGGAATCCCGGCTTGGTTTGTCAAAGCTGTCGATGGATCACCTCTTAATTCAGGCCTCAAAGCAATGGCTTCGAGGTCAGGATGTCTCCAAAGAGACACGCAAGTCAAGGATTGTACGGTGGCTTCAGTATCGCGGTTTCAACTGGGGTGTTATTGGTTTCATTGTAAAGAAGTTGGAATCTCAGTATCCTCCCTAAAGCATTGAAAAGGATGGTTCAGCAGAGTATTAATGACAATTCCAGGTTTTGGGTTTAGATTAGGTTTAATACCCGTAATTCGAGTTTCAAAATTCATGTCGGGTAGAAATAATGATAGAATTGCTTATTTGAAATGACAGCCTCAATAAACAGCACATCTTAGGCTCTTAGCTCGTACTTGTACCAATCTTCATGTTGCGTGAACCTTCCCATAGTGACCCTTCTATAGTCCAAATGCGGTGAGGTTGATCTTTACGTATATTGCTTCGAGTATTCATTTCTCTTAAAGTATCTTTATTTGACTCGCATGTTTAACGAGCTCTAATCCTAAATTCTAAACCTTAAACTTGTGTCTAAATTCTTGGAAAACTCTGAGGTGGCGTTTGGTTCGCTAGAATGTTTATGAGGGAATTGGAATCTGTGAAGGAATTGGAATCTGTAGGAATTAGAATCTGAATCTGAAACATGTTTGGTTGGCAGGAAATTGAATTGGAATCTCATTCCATATTCTGTTTGGTTCGTAGACATGTCAGATGAATTTGATTTCAATAATGTAAAATGACAGAATTGCCCTTCTTCTTTTTTTGCTTAATTTTAGTTTGTTTTATAACTTACATGTAGCAATATATTATAAAAAATTTAAAAAATATTAATTTTTCATTTTATTGATTGATTATTCATTTCAATAAATTATAAAAATCATACTAATAAACATTATAAGTTAAAATCATCCCAATTAGGGATGGTCATGGGTAGGGTTGGGTTGGGTTTTGGGTCCACCCGACCCGACAACAAGGGAATCTCCACTCGAGACTCGACCCGACCAAAATAAAGTTTCACCCGACCCGACCCGAAATAATAAAAAAATATTTTTATTCAATAAAAACAGTGACTTAATTGAAAAAAAAATATATATAAAGGGGTATTATTGTAATTATTCATAAATATATAAGGTAAAATTATATATTTTTTTTGGTCGGGTCGGGTATTTTTCACTCTAAATCCGAACCCGACGCGACCTGAATATCAAACTTAAAAAAAATCGACCGACCCGACCCGACCCGAACCCAAATTTTTTTAAAAAAATCTGACCCGATCCCGGATTTTTTTTAAAAAAAATCCGACCCGAATACCAAAAGATTGATGAGGGTAGTATGGTCAAATTTCACATTCCCTCCTCCAAAGGATTTCAATTCTATCATGTTATAGATGAAATTTACTTTCCCTCCCTTGATGGAATTGGATTCCAATTCCCCCTTTGAAAACTTGAATCAAACATGCCCCCTAATTCTAAGGGATTCCAGCGAACCAAACGCCACTTGAAAATTTCAACATTTTCATGCCAAAGACGTACTCATATCCTACACTCGCACCCATTAGTACCATCTTGAGTCTTTGACATCGATTGGATCCACACAATACGTGCTTGTAGAGGAACTCTCGATTAAAAACTTGTAAGAATTTCACCATTTGGTGGATGTGTTGTTTCTATCTGTTGTTTTATTAGAGATATTGAGACAACATCAAATATACAGACAATGACAGTAGCCTCTGCTAGTGGAGTTGCATTATCCTAATATATGTGGATCTCATTTCTTTTGCAGATTGGAGCACTATGATTATGGAGCACTTATTTTGTTTTTCCATTTATATTCAAGTATACTCGTCTTGCTATCGCTATTGCCTTGGCATTTATCCGAACATTCGTATTTAATATATTTCTCCGAATAACTGAAAAGTTTGGTGAAAATTTGAATATATCCATGTTTGATATGTATATCCAGGTACAAGTCCTAATAATGTAGATTGCTACTGGCATGTGCTGCAGATTAGGACATATAGAGTTGTTCCAAACCTAGGTTAGTTTTACCTTTGGGGAGGCTTCTAACATTGCTGGAAGAAATGACTTTGTTAGACAGCACATGGACATGTGATGTAGGGAACGTGGGACCACATGATCACTGCTGTTAAGCTAGGTTTTTGAGACAGAGAATCTCTTTCTTGTAATAAGTTCTAATTGTATAAATCCAACACTAACAATCGTTGTTCCAGCATCGACTACAACGACTCGATCCTAAAGCCTAATAGTTGCCTATGGATAACAAGTACACACACTCTGTAGGCGTAGGCAAGTGAAAGCTAAGTACTTGATTATTGCAAGCTACAATACCAAATACAGCAGAAATTACAACTTGATCCAATCTTTAACGCTGAAGCTCGAATGGATTCTTCAATGAACTATGAACAGGTTACGAACTATCACATTGATACAACTTGAAATCTCCCCCTTCACGACTGGCTCGAATCGTCAGAGAAAGTAAACGAGCAGCTTGTTGATCCCTGCTGCACCATGATTCTAGACGGCGGCGATGGTGACCGAGGGGCTTTTGTGGTTCCCTTTGAAACGTCGGTTTCGGGGTGACGGATTTCTTTGAGCATTGCAACAACATCTTTCATCATAGGACGATCATCAGGTCGGGTGCTAACACAGAGGAATGACACAGCTAATGTTTGTAGCATTTCATGCATAGCAGGGTCGGCCCTTCCCCTAAGCTTTGGGTCCAGAATGTCACTTGGGTCCCCTCTGCTAGCCAAATGGTCTCGAACCCACTGAACCAAGTTTGCACCACTTGGTAAAGTTGGGTCTAATGGGTGTCTTCCGGTCAGAATCTCTAAAAGGACTACACCGAAGCTGTGGACATCACTTTTCTCTGTGATAGGTTGCATTGTGGCGTGTTCTGACAGTAACAATGATATATTAGAGGTGATTAGCGAATTTATATTGAATGAAATAGAAAAAACTGAAAATAATTAAACCCTGAAAAGGAAAATAGCAGAACCTGGAGCCATGTATCCATAAGAACCAGTTAAGTGTGGTCTTGGACTTGATTTGGAAACTTTATCACCATTGCTATTCAAAACTCTGGCTAAGCCGAAATCAGCAAGGTAAGGCTCATAACAAGGACCTAACAAGACATTCGTGGCTTTGACATCTCCATGCAAGATTGCGGGCACGCAATCATGGTGCAAGTAAGCAAGAGCATGTGCCACGCCAAGCACGACGTCGTAACGAGTCTCCCAGTCGGCTCCTCTCTTACCGCCACCGTGAATGAGCGAACTCAAGCTTCCGTTCGGAAGATAATTGTAAAACAATAGCTTCAGTTTCAAGTTCGAACCCCAACCGAGAAGCCTAACGATGTTCCTGTGTCTGATCGAGCCTAGTGTCTCGATCTCAGAAGTGAATGCACCGAACTCTTCGGATGACCACATCTTCTTCACTGCTAGTGCTTCGCCGTTTGGAATCGTTACCCTGTATACAGCCCCGGAGCTCCCGGTGCCAATCATGTTAGCTGAATTTAAGTTGTTCACTATGTGATCGATCGAGAAGTCGAATTTCTGATACAAGGTCACTGTCCACGTGTAATCTTCCATAAGGCCATTGTCAGGAATTCGGGCACGGAGTAACACGTAGATCGCGAGGAGTACTAGAATAACACTGGTAGCTATAAGGATGGACATGGCTAGCTTCACTACTGGTTTAACACGCCTTGAATGTTCAATATCAGCCGAGGTTACAACGCCATTGGAGATGTAGAGGCCTTTGTTTGATTCAAGGTCACTCAATGGGAGTTTTCGGAAAAATGGCGAATTTGGTAACTCCCCTGAGAACTCATTGTAGGAGACATTAAGGGAAACAAGGTTTTGAAGACTTGCAAGGACAGCTAACTGGCCAGAGAATTTGTTGTGAGAGAGGTCAAGTACTGCCAGCTTGGTAAGGCCAGAGAACTCGGATGGGATTTTACCGGAAAATCGATTGCAGCTAAGGTTTAGAGAGATTTCGAGTGCCGGAATCTGGCCTAGTTCCTTTGGTATTTCACCAGAAAAACCATTGTCACCCAGGTCTAACAACTGGAGCTTACTGCAAGACAATATCTCAGATGGAATTTGCCCGGAAAGTTGATTCTTTCCCAAGTTAAGCTTAGTCAACTCACTTAAGGAACCAATTGTACGACTCAGTTGACCTATAAGGCTGTTGTCTGAAATGTCAACATATTGCAGGCTTGTAGGAAGAATATCTGGCAATGATCTAGAGAGTCTGTTTGAATGGAGATCAAGAAACTCGAGGCTTCGAAATCCGGATATCGATCGAGGAATTCCTCCGACGAGATGATTATTGCTTAAGTCCACAAAGTTCAAGTCTTTCAGATATCCAATCTCTGATGGAATTGTTCCTGCAAGCCTGTTGCCATTTAATCTCAACCTATACAAATTGGTGCAGTTTCCGATCTCCGGTGGAATAAAGCCGGATAAATCATTGGAAAGAAGCAGTAACTTGGTGAGATTTGTCAAGCCAAAAATGTCTTTCGGGATTGAACCCGAGAGGCTGTTATAGGACAAATCAAGTGCCTGGAGCTCCTGGCACTGAGAAAGACTGCCTGGAATGCTTCCGGACAGCTTATTTTGCCAGGCAAAGAATATAGTCAAACTCTTTAGCTTGCCTATGTCGATCGGAATCTCACCGGAGAGGCCGTTGTTGTCGAGTTCGAGATGAGTCAACTCCGTGCAGTTCGAGATTTCGGATGGAATTGTACCTGACAACTGATTAACACTCAGTTGAAGCTCATGGAACTTTGAAAGTTTCCCAATGCTTCTTGGTATGCTACCTGTTAGAAGATTCTCCGATAAATCGACCACGGTCAGCTCCCTGCAGTCTCCGAGCTCATCCGGGATAGTACCGACCAAGCTGTTCTGCCACAATAGCATATTCTGAAGCTTGCTGAGCTGCCCAACTTGCCTTGGAATCTCACCGGATATGTAATTCTGATACAAGTAAAGATTTTGCAGCTCACTGCAATTACCAATCTCCTCAGGGATGGAACCTGATAACAAAGATGTGTAAATGGCTATGGTTTGAACCCTTTTCAGCATCCCGATCGACGACGGAAGATTGCCGGAAACGCCGGTCTCGGCCAGGCCTAACATCAACAAGTTGGTGCAGTTTCCAATCTCCCATGGAAGCTCGCCTTTAAGATTTCTATTCCCACCGGCTCGAAAAACTTCAAGCTTCCTCAATTCCCCAATGCTCTTTGGTATTCCACCGCTCAGTTGGTTGTCAAACAGCGTCAAATAAACAAGGCCGGAAAGGTTTCCGATTCCCGGCGGGATTTCACCCTCAAGAAAGTTGGTATTGAGAGCCAAAGTCTGCAGTTTTCTCAGCCTGCAGATTTCCACCGGGATTTCACCCGAGAGCAAATTGCAACTAAGGTCAACAAATTCAAGCTCATGGTAATCCCCGAATTCTCCAGGGATCACGCCACTGAGATTGTTCGAAGAAAGCACGAGAGTCTTCAAGGATTTAAGAGACTGGAAATTCGACGGCAGCGAGCCCTGCAAGTCCATCGATTTCAAGCTTATCTCCACAACCTCCATCTCCAAGCTGCAACGAACCCCGAACCAGTTGCATGGGGTAGGGTCCAACGAGTTCCACGATTTCAGTGCGTCTGTGGTGGAGTTCAAGCTCTTCTTCCATGCTAGTAAAGCTTGGCCTTGGTCATCAATGGAGTAACAATGGTGGAAGAAGACAAGGAATGTGAAACTGAAAGAGAAGATATAGGGAGGAAACAAGAGGTTACTTAGAGTTGCAGGCATTGGTGGTGCTTGGAGAAGAAAACAGGCGATCTGTTTTGGGATTGTTGAGGGTGGAACACCATGGTTCAACAAAAAGCTGAATATCTGGATCCGAGTGCTCTTTCTTTTTCTATCATTATTCTAATAGCTGGAGTTGTTAATTAATATATGTTGTTTTCTATATTCCTCCTGCCCTTTATTTTTCTTTAAATTCTCGTGTTTATATATTAGGGTAAATTGCAAATTTGGTCACTAACTTTAATCTCTCTCTTATTTCACTCATTATACTTTAGATTTTTTTAATTTTGGCTTAATAGCTAATCCTTTTCTACTTTAATTTATCCTCAATTTAGGTTTGTTTGACGTAACTTTCTAAAAAGCACTTTTTTGGTAAAAAGTTTGTTCCGTTTCGACATTGCGGTAGAAACAATAGTTTAAAATCAACTATAAAAGTTAGGATTTTAAGTTTTTTTCACGGTTAGATATTAAAATGAAATAAAATCTAAATGTTAAGTGTAATTTTTAAATTTTTAAATTTTTTTATACTAAAAAATAAAGATTAAAATTGATAGTTTAGATAATGAAAACGTAGTTTATCCTAATTTTAATTAGAATGAATGGAATAACTTAACATAAAAAGAATAGACGGGGTGCACCCCATAGAAACTCTAAGGACGTGTTTGGTTCAAGGATTGTGGAATCCCACATTCTCATGTTTGGTTGGCCGGGAATCTCATTCCCGGTAATGTTTTATTACCAATAGTAGCTTTTTTGGGGTATATTACTGGGAATGTCATTATCTCCCTTCCCTTAGGTATTGTAACATTACCGACGTTTTGGACTAAAATACTCTTAAATTTTTATTTTTTTTCAAAAATATCCTTCTTCTGTCATTGAATAATAAAAATTTTACGAAGGTTAAATTATAAATTTATCCTTAAATAAATTATTTTAGATTTACAAAAAAAATCTATAATTAAAATTTTATATGAAGTTCAGGGGTTAAATTTTTTTTTACCATTTCATTAAACCTTTTTTATATTTTTAATTTTGTAAAAAAAATTATATAAATATTATGAATTTAATTTTTTTTAAAAAAATATATAAATATTTTACAATTTTAATATTATACAAATATATAATATGGATAATTTGGTTAAATATATATATTCCAATAATCTTTTATTACTTTAATAAACACGGTAATCTTACATTCCTGCTAAACCAACCAAACACAAAATACAACATTCCCAGTAATCGTATTCCCTGGTAATCTTTTATTCCCACTGGTAATCTTACATTCCGTGAACCAAACACACCCTAAGGACAAACCCAAACAGTCCCCCAATGCCCACTTTTTGTTGGTGAAATAAAAGGCCATGTTTCAAGAGTAATTTTATGTTATTTAATCACTATGTTTAATTTGGATAGGTATGATTTTTTTTTAATTAATTCGGGGTATGTATAAACAAGATATTTTTACCCGTATTCGACGGGTTTAGATCCGATTCAATTTGATTGGGTTAGGTTTTTTTTTAAATGGGTTTGAATCAGGTCATGTCAGATTTTTAAGAGTTAAAGTCAGGTCGGGTAGAGGGTGAAAAAACTACAACCCGACCCGAGGATTAAAATATAATTTTCTTAAAAAATTATTATTATTTAATTGAATTTTTAATTTATACCGGATCGTGTAGGATCTGATTTATAATATAAAAATTGGGTCAGGTCAGGTTCAGGTAGATGGTGCATATTTCAGGTCGAGACGGGTTGACCAAAAACCCTAACCTGAACCATTATCGTCCCTAAATAAGACAATATATATTTTAAGATAACTCTCAATCATCATACTCCTAATGTTCTTGGTGGTCAAACCCGATACCTAAAAGAATAATAACAATTTCTTTACCACTAAGGTCACTTGATTCGATTGGAATTTAAATAAATCGATCAACATCTCAGAATTGTTATTATTATCAATATTAATTAAATATAATTAAGAGCATAATGAAATTGGATCTAGATCACATTGGTGGCACTTTGACTTGATGGTACGAGATCCATCCCTTCACATGATGAACCAAAGTTGGTAGGCAACAAATGGGTCATGTGATTTGATCTAGCATTGTTGTTTTGTATTACATTAGTTTTTGCTTGGTCTTTTGGATTTTGGTCGCACATGAGAAAGAGAAAGCATCTACTATTAATTACATTTGTGTGTGTCATGTTATTAGCAATTTAAAAAAAAAATTAAGCCTAGGTTCAAATTATTTTGTAAAAATAAAGGTAAATATTATACCCTTTACATAAAATTATTTTTTGATAATTATACTTTAATTACATATAATCGAGATAACTCATCACGTAGATTTAATTAGGGACAGACGCGGGATTTTAGGTTGGAGGCAAATTTAAACTTATAAAATTTCAGGGGCAAATATCAATTTATAAAATTTTAGGGGACGAAAGCATATTTTCAACAGAAAATACATAGAAAAAAATCTGAAATATATAGTAATTTTAAAATTTTAGGGGGCCACTGCCCCCACCCGCTCGCCTCGGTCCATTTATGGATTTAATGATAATATAGACAATCGTATTTACAGAATATTTACACATTATCAATAAATTAAATAATAAATAATAAATACTATCTTTTGAAATTTCTATATTATCTAAAAAATTACATACAACCAAGATTAATTTTATGAACCGATGCATGGAACTTATATTTGAATAATAAAAGATAAATTACGCTAGCACGTAAACTATTAGTTTTGATTCATTTCAATACTTAAACTTTTAAGCTTATGATAAAATATACAAATGATCCTCCGACTATATGATATTGTTTTATTGATTTTTTTGACTATTAAAAGTTACAAAATGATCCCTTGATTATATGGAGTTGCTTTGTTAAATCTCTTGACTATTAAAAGTTACAAAATAGTCACTCAACTATTTATTATGTTCTAAACTAATCATTTTTTGTTAAAAAATTAATGGTTGTCTAAGTTGGACGTTAACATGCTGACTGAGATATGATAGTCGTTTGAGATTATCAGATCATATTTTATCATATCTCAGTCAGCAAGTTAACGTATAACTCAAACTAACACCAAATTTTTAACGAAAAAGAACAAATTTAGAACATAATGAATAATCAAGTGATACTTTTATAACTTTTAATAATAAAATGACTTGATAAAGTAGTATCTTATAGTCATGACCATTTGTAAATTTTATCCTAAATTTTAAAGGAATTGATGAGGGATTAAAATATTGATTTAATTATATTTTATATCGAATTTGAATTATTAATTGTTTAAAATTATACATGATGATGGGGGAGTGGACCCTAAATGAAATAGTGGATACAGACAAAGGGTAGTAATCAAACCCAACTTTTAGCCAATTTGTACTTAGTCGCACTTGCTATTGTGGATAAATCTCTCACCATTATCTTACAAATATTAAATTCTATAACCCTAATCAAGCCATATAATGATAATCTAAAACACCCTTTTGTTTTGGATAATAAATAGACGGCTATAATGAAGAATCTATAATCCTAATTAGATACTCGTCCCGTTGTCATTGTCAATCAATCGTTATTTGTCACTAATAGTCATTCGCAATGAAAATAATACCAAATTAATTACATTTTACATATTCTTTTCTCATTGGACTGATTTTTTTTATAAAACTCACTCAAAAAAGAAAAAAAATCATATAAATGTTCTCATCCTGTCATATCCCGAATTGAGATTAAATTAAAAGTATTGTAAAAGTCAATGTATGTTTGTGAGTTTCTAGAAGTTTAAGGACTTAGGAAAAATTTAACCAAAAGTTTAATTTGGTTTATAAACCAACACCTTTCTTCTCCACTCTTTTCCCCTATTAGTGAAAACCAGAAACGTTTTTCTCTCTCTACCCATTTTAGTTTTTCTTCGATTCACCGCTAACCGTTTGGTAGTGTGCGACACCTCCTGTACCATTGTGTTCATCTCGTCGACCCCGTTCGTTCGATGTTCTTGGATTTCTATTCACCATTGTTGTTTGTAATCAGTGAAGGTTCAAATAGTAGGATTTTGTAATAAAAAAAACTAATTTCCGTCGATTTTTTCGGAAAACTGATGATCGTAAGTGACTTCGTTCTTTAAAATATTTGTTTGTATTTTTTCGACCACCATAAGAGGTCCCACGTGCGTCACGCGTCGCTGAATGAGAGTAGGCTTCGTTATGTCGGTTTAACCCTGACCCGTTGACTTTGATCGACCGACTCGTTGACTTTTCTAGTGACCGTTGATTTTTAAAGACCTATATCTTAACATTTTTCGATGTCCTGAGTCCGTTTGCGTATCCCATTTTGCTAAATTCTGACTCGAAAGCCATGTTTTGCATCATTTTTCATTTTAAGTCCTAATTATGTTAAGTAAATTATGAGGTTTTGAATTCACTTTTGGGTTAATTTTCTGAAGGTGTCCTCGTTTCTCCGGATTGCTCACCAATAGACCCTGATCACTCTCGTTCTGCTCAGTCGAGTCCGCTCACTCGTCTTGAGATACGCGTTTTTGATCCGCAGGATCTAGTACTACTGATCGTGGGAAACATAAGGCCTAGCCGATATTAATCATCTCTTATAGGTGTATCCCCTTGATTTGCTCGATATATTCAGCGTGTTATGTTATATGTTGTTATCGATAAACATGTTTGTGATCTGATTATATATATATTTATATATTCACAACAAAAATTACTTTTGAATGTTGTGACATCACCATTAATTTGCATGTTGATGCATTTTTAATTATGCATAGGCTTAGTCCTCATTCTGACATATGTATGGAATTAATTCCCCATTCTAACATCTACAATGGATTAACTCCTCGTTCTGACATTTGCATGGGATTAATTATCCATTTTGACATCTGCAAGGGATGAATTCCCGTTATGACATATGCATGAGATTAATTCCCCGTTCTGACATCTGTATGGGATTAATTCCCTGTTTTGACATCCGCATAAGATTATATCTCCGTTCTGTTTCTGTTGGGATCCTCTACAGGGGTAAATCCTTATTCTGATTTTGGTATTCAGTTTTGGATGTCTCCCTGTAAGGTA